TAAGTGGCATGTCTTTGAAGAGCCAGTGAACTGCTCTTTATTCTATCGAGGTACTTGGTGATCGTGTCACATTCTGGGATTGAGCCCACAATTGTAGGTTCAATCATGTTCTTGATCATAGCCAAACATTTCTTGTTTGTAGTGACCCACTTTCTATGCTCAAAAGCCATAGGATATCTTTTGGGATTCAAAATCCCTTTCTTTAGTTGCCCAAGTGGCATCATTCTTTTTTTTGTCTCCCTCACCGGTGTCACAAACTCAGTGGAACACAGTGAGGTGACTACCCAGTCCACCTTAAACAAGATGAAAACCAGGTCAAATCTTTTCTTAACATAAAATTAACACCATTTGCATGCCTTGATTCCAACGTTGGTCAAAATCAAAACATACAACTATTCTTATACACTAATTCTACATCACCGTTGGGCAGAAATAGAATTAATGCATAAATCTTTAACTTTCATAACTGTTCTTACACACTAATTCTACATCACCGTTGGGCAGAAATAGAATTAATGCATAAATCATTAAAATTAACATATGTTCTTATACACTAATTCTACATCACCGTTGGGCAGAAGTAGAATTAATACATAAATCATTAGCATTACGATATTGTTATTAACAACGTTGGTCAGAAAATAACAACATCATAATCATGTCAAAACTCTTTTTCTCCAATTAAATACCACATTGGTTCAAAATAATTGGAGAATCAACATTTTCTTTAGCAGCGGAAAAACTTTCCTTTTCTCCAATTAAATACTACATTGGTACAAATTAACTGGAGAATAAATTATTTCTCTAGCTGTGGAAAAACTTCTCCTTTTCTTGAATTTTACCCACAGGGAAAATTGTATTTTCTATTTCCTCTAATCCATTAATCAATTTCCAGAAAATAAAACATTTACTGGAAAAACTTTGAGAATATACTTTTTCTTTAGCAGCGGAAAAAACTTTCAATCAATTTCTTGAATTTTACCCACAGGTAAAATCACTTTTCATATTTTCTTTGATATATTTTTCATTTTCCAGAAATTAGCAATTACTGGAAAAGAAAAAACTGATCTTGATTCTTTCCCTTTTTTCGGCCCAACCGGTAAAACCAGCTCGGCCCGCCTCTCTCCGCGCGCGCAGGCCGCACCCAGGCCGCAACCTGGGCCTGGGCCGGCAAACTGCCACGGCGCGCTCCCCCCGCCTGGGCCGCTCGTGGGCCCGTGCATCCGGCGCCGTTGGATCTGATCCGACGGCCGTCCGATTGTTTCGGCCGAATAAAAAATGACTCCGGCTGCGGGCCCTGAAACCCTAGTCTCATTCGGCACTTGCCCTTCTCTCTCTTCGCTCGCCGCTCTCTCTTCTCTCTACCTCAGTGCAGCCGCGAGCGACCGACGACGAGCGAGCGGGCGGTGGAGCGAGCCTTGGCGCCGTCGCCGGCCCCCTCGCCGGCGCGCGTGCTCCCCAACGGGTGAGCACGCCGCCGTCGAGCGGCCTGGCCGCGGCGCCCCCGGCTCGGCTCTTCTTCTCCCGCGCCGGCGAAAGGCTGTCCCGGCTCTTCTTTTCCCATGCCGGCGAGGGTGGATCCGTCCCCTTCCCTTTCTCCTTTCCCACCCCCTTCTTTTCGATTTGGATCTCGCTCTCCTCTTATCCGAACCGAACCGAAGGAGGGGATTAGGGTTAGGGTTTCTTTGATTCCTTTCTTTTCTTTTCTTTGATTTCTTTTGTTTCTTCTCGGATTCAACCGGTTAGGGATGAGGATCCGTCTAGGGTTAGGTTTAGGGTTCGTATGCCGACCCTATTCTTTTCCCCTTTCTTTTCTGTTTTTCCTTTCTTTTCTTTGACATCCGAATGGATCTAGGGTTAGGTTCTGTTTTCTTTTATTTCTTTTCTTTTCCCTTGTTTACCCGAACAGATTATCCCCGTTCTAGGGTTAGGGTTTCGGCTCTGTGAGCCTAGGGCCTTATTTCTTCTCTGATCCGAAAGGATCTGTTCTTTTCTTTACTTTTGTCGTGCGTCGTCGAACGGTGCGGCTCCTTTCCCCCACGCGTGGTGGCGGTGATGACCGGTAGACCATGAGCCGGTCTCTCTTTCTTTTTCTTTTACCCGGTTAGGGTTAGGGATACACAGGAATACACAGAGGTAACCTGGCTCCGGTACCATTGTTAGAATCAATGTGAGTACCTTTCTGTGTAACCCGTAGATCCGAGTAGGCTCCTAGCCCTTCAGTAGATGCACCGCAGCCAGTGTCGCGGTGTAGAAGACATCCAGCGCCGGCGAGATGAAGTCTAGTGACGTCGGCGGTGTCCTGCAGTGGGAGACGGCGATGGTTGGGGCACATCCCGTCGCTGGCAGCAGCTCTTTAGATCGGTATTAGGGTTTCTGTAGGTGGGTGTGGCGGCTCCAGTGAACCTCCTCTCGAGCTCGATCCCCACCTTCTCTATTTGTATGTGTTGTGCGATAGGGGCCCACCAACCAGTTAGGGTTGGGCTCCCCCGATCGAGGCAGAGCCAAGGGCCCAATAGGCCGTTGGGCCTATTGGTGGACATCAACTAACACTCTTATCTCTAATTCATCACGTATTACACTATTCTTAGTAAAACTAGACAAAACTCTTATACTTGGGGGAGTGGAGGGACAAACGGATCACGAGAAAGAGTGAAGGACCAAATTTGGAGGCGATAATTGTTCACTATTTAATATTAGGTAATGACTTTGTTTCTGCGGTGCGTGCCTGGCACGCATGCTCCTCTTGCCGTCGATGGATCATCCAAGGCTTGGCGTGCATCTGGCGTTTCCAACCCAACCGCGGTGCCTGGCCCACTAGTCATAGAGAGGGGAGGAGTAACTGTTCAAATCTTGGGACTCGCGCTTCCTCTCTCCTCCCGACAGCGACGCCTCAGATAGAGCTCGCTTCATCTGCGCTCGCTTCGGCTCCGTCTTCATCGAGAAGAATCCCCCACGGCGACCTGATGACTCTCCCGGTGACCGCAGTTTTCCGCCAGACCCAGATCAGGCGGAGCACAGGTCACCGCGCTGACCGGTAAGTTGGATCCCGTCCCGACGCTTCCACCTCATGGATTTGATTTGGATTTGTTCCCTATCTAACTCCAATCTGTTCCGATTCCATGGTTTGCTGGGTGCGCCATGCACTGAAGGTAGCCTAGGCGGCGCCATTCTCTGTTTGCATGGTGAGAGGACCAATTCTGATGAGGCATATACTGACGGATTTGGTTGATTTTGTTTCACTTGCAGGCTTCTCAGCTACGCCCGCATCGCGGTCGTTTCACCGTCGCTGTACAGCCCCCTATCGTGACGTGCTGCTCACCGTCGCCGCCACGGTGTCTCACCGTCGCCGAGAAGCCTACTCCAGCGTCGACTGCGCCTCGCTGCTTGCATGGCCCCTACCCCCTCCCCGACACCACCGCCTCCTCCGACTTTTGCCTCCCTCGACATCTCCTGTTGTAAGCACTATCACCGTTGTTGCTTGCTTCCTTACCTTCACAGAGATAGATAGATAGATCCGACTGCACCGTTCAAGCATTCTGGTTATTCATTAGTAGCGTATCCAAGATTTTTTTGGAGCCTTGGCACTCTGAATGAAAATACAGACTATAATTCCTGCTTGTAGAATGTTAACTTTACATGATCACTAGTGTTTAATTTTAGGCAGAAGAATAGTCTCTCCTAAAGGAAAAAATTTCATAAGCATCAGCCATTACACCTAGTAATGAAACATGTACCCTAAAATACGCAGCCTCAAACCTGAAACCTGAATATCTACAGATAATATCATTTTTGTCGCATACACTAAATTCTAGGTGTAGTGTCCACGTCTCTGCGAGATAGTTGTGGCTACGTCTAGTGGACATGCAGGTGCAGCGCACATCCTTATTGGCTTTGGCACAGACTAAGCTTCAAATACGTACTACCCATAAAGATGGAACCTGTTTTTTTGTCTTCAGGGGTCGCAGTGCTAGCACCTAGTGCTTGCTAATGTTGCCCTTCCCTGACCATTACTCCACGTCTTGATGATTTCACATAATCAAGTTGTTGCTCTTTCAGACTCTTTTAGGGTGCATTATATGATAAATCTAGTCCATGTAATTACTGATAAACCTCAAAGGCTGCATGTGCATGATACTAGAAGTCCATTTCCTTTTGCCCAAACCAATGCTTTGTTTGCTCTGATCGCAAGTGGCCTGAGGCATTCAACATTCAGCATTCAGCCTGGAGGCATTTCTTATCCACATGCACACATAAGGCTGAGAATTCAGATATTGGTCTTTAGCAACTTACTTCCTTGTCATAATATATATGGATTGTGTAGCTCCCTTGTTCATAACCCAAGCTGTATTTGCCATTTTTCTTCTTGTTTTAATCTATGCATTTCATGATCTTGAAAATGCCCATTTGCTATCTCACATAGTTCCAAAAATATTCTGTGCTATGACATTGTTAATTAAGCCTTAATGTTGGCTATTTCTGCTCAATGTGCATCATTAGGTCTATTCTATTTAGGTTTTGAGATTCTTCTTGTTTAATTGGAACTGAATGCCTTGAATTTGTTTATTTTTAGCTTCTGCTTGGTCGAGGCACAAGCGAGGCACCCAGTCCATTTTTCTGCATCTAATTTGTGTATAAGCAGCTCTTGTCGGTGGAACTGCAAAATATCTCAGGTGCTCGTTGTTTCCTTTCTTTTTATTTCTTCTCCAATAACCAATGCCATCATGTTTATTAACAGTGTTATCCTTTTAACTGATTGGTGTCAGATTATCGCACGTACTATAACAGTTTACCTGTGATTGTTCAATCCCTATCTATTTAGCATCAGTGGCAATCAAAACCAGTAGTGTCGATTTATCAGTAATTACATGAATATTACGAGGACTTTACTCACTGTAAGAAATTACATAGATTTCAGTCTATGGTTTGTTGCCTGGCCACGCTCTCTGGTTTCTTTTTATTTCGCAAGAACTACAAAATAGTTCTATACCAAGAGGACAATGGCTATATCTTATCTAATTTACTTTACCAATCTTACTTTATGTATGCACTTTCGGTTCTTGCGAATGTGCTACATATTAGATCAGCACAATATTTCCTAAATCTTTCAATATATGCTTTATGGAATAGGCATGCGGTAGGAAGGCTCACTCTGTTCCCAGCCTCCTGGCTCCCTACAATCTGTTGTGCTGTTCACTTAGTGATCATCACGCTATTGCTAGTGTTTAAGAGTACCTATCATGCATATATTCATTTATGCTCCAGCTTTTACTTGTGCTCTCATCCTAGATGTAAATTAGAATCTTGTTGCTCCATAGTGCAACGTTTCTACAGGAGCTGGGAGGTTTGGAACGGAGTGACGCGAGAGTGCTGATGTGTGTCTTATATTATAGTGAAAGTATTAAACTTCATGTATTGAACTGCTCTTCATGTATTGAACTGCTCTTCTAAAATTATTGAACTACTTTTCTGAAATTGTTGAATGAAATTATAGTGAATGTATTGAACTGCTTTTTTTGTAATTAGTGAATCCTAACATGTATTAAACTTCACTTCATGTCTATCTTTTTATTTTACCTATATTTATGCCAAATGAGCTGAACCCTTCATCCAACATGGTCTCTTAGGTGTTGCTTGTGTTAGGCAGTGGGTAGAGGACAACAAAGCCAACCTATTACTTCATCATCTTCAACGGTTCCTAAGGTATGTGCGCCCAATCCGTTAGCTCTGTTTTTTGTATTCACCTGTTTTGTGCACTTAATTTTTAGTTGCCGCTATTTTCTAACCTTTTGCAATCCATCTCCTATTCTCAGCCTCGAAGACAGCGGGCTTCCCCATCGAGGCTCGTGAAGCTCTACAATGATTTGACTCAACCTCCGAAGAAAAGAATATGGGCGATTGGTTTTGGTGGTCTCCTGAAGATTGCTTCTAAGACCCTTCCTATAGGTTTTGCAGACTGGTTGATGGCTGAGTGCTATGATGCTGATTCATCAGAGCTAGTGTTTCCTAGCAGGGGAAGGATTTTAGTCAATGTTGATTCAGTGTGTCGTGCTTTTGGTCTTCCAAACAATGGTGATGAAGTTAAGTATGAGCTTGATGTTGGTGCGATCAACTTCATCAATGATGAGTATGGTATTGATGAAGGGACAACACCTACTATTGACTCTATATTAGAAAGGTTGGAGGAGAATAAGACAAGCAATGATGATTTCCTAAGGTCCTGACTGATGATAGCAATTTCAATATTCCTGTGTCCTCCAGCTGGCTTAGCTATTAGCCCAAGGTGCTATCCAGCCATTATGGATCTTTCTTGCGTCAAGAAGTTGAATTGGTGCCAGTTTGTTGTTGACCAGCTTAAAGACGTAGCAGCCAAAATGGGCAAAAGAAGATCTTTTAAGGGTTGTCTTCTTGTCCTTGTGGTAAGTTGCTTTGCGTCTTGTTCTATGCTGCAGTGTTTGGTGAGTGCTGCTGCAGCAACAGCAGCCACAGCGCCGCTGCAGCAAGCACTACCAATCTCAGCCATATATGTTTCTACTTCTTCATTCTTTCTTCTTATATTTTGATGCCCTCATTGATTTTTCATCTTTGTAGATTCTATATGTAGACTCGCTTTTGGTTGATAATGTATAAACCCCTTCCACCATGCCTAGAGTTGCAGCATAGTCAAGGAAATTGTTGGATCAGGTCATCAAGTTAGACACCAACCGTGATGGCTCATTTGGGAAGCTCAAGGTATGTATCAATAGGTCAATGTGGCTTCCCTTTTGTCACTAAAGTATCCCCATGTCCACATTATAACTTTGCCTATACATGTTTATGTGTCCAGTTGAAAGGATCAAGCTATTCTACTCCACAGCCTTCATTGTTCCATATGGATGATATAAGAAGATTTGTCTCCTCGAAGGTTCCCAGTGGCATTTCAGATCAGGTTTGTCTCTTCTCTAATGATGTTCTTATGACTACTAGTTTTTGTTAAATGTACTTGAATGTGTTTGTGTGAAAATTTGTGTTGGCAGACCCGTTGTACATCTTATATGTTAAGACTCAAATGTTAATGTGCATTGCCTTTCCTATTTACTAAGTTCAGAGTTTAGCCCATTGCTTGATTTTTTTAAACAAAAAAAAATAAATTATAAAATTTTGATTCATCCTATACTTCATCCTTTTTTCTGTGTAGTTTCTTCCGCGCCTACTTTTGACTTGTGTAGTAGTATGCTGATTCATCCTTTTTCCTAGAGTTTAGCTTAGCTTTTCATGAATCCCGTGATGGCCTTACCTTTCCATGAATCTCGTCTTCTTAGCATCCCCATTTTAGCATCTTTGCATTTTTAGGCAATTTAAGTGTCATTCGTTAGGCAACAGTGTCTTCCTAAATAGGCAATTTAGCCAATTCTTACTAGTCAAAAAGGCCATCCCTTTTGTTACTTATATGGTTGCTTAACTCTACTTGTTCCCCCCCATTCGTGGGCCTACACAACACAAGCTTGTATGAATCTTGTGGAAGCCCATTCCACTTGTTCACTTTCACTCCTTTTTTGGGTTTTGTCCAAAATTTGTGTGCGTGGTTTCATTCCATTACTTACACCTTTTTTTCCTCTTCTTTTGTCCTTTACAGAAAAAAGTACGCTCAACACTACTGTTAGCCAGTTCTGCTCTGGTTTCACAGAGCTTCTCGGCACATTTTTAGAAAAAAGTTTCTAAAGTTGAAGCTCCTGCATCACAGCGTGTGGGTAGTTCTAAGCGTCCAAGGGCAAATCATTCTAAAGGTGAACCTTCCTATGCACAGAGACATAGCAGACCAAGCGTTACAAATTGGAACAAGCTGTACCTTCTTGTGCACAAAGGCAGACCAGGGCAATGAGTAGAAGAGGACATGTTGTTGAAGATGAATCTTTGTGCGAAGAATCTAAAGAGGACTTGCTAAGTGATGAAAATGGAGATGGTGACATCGACCAAGATGAAGAGGACGAAGATTCTGAGGATGAATATTCTGATTCAGATCATGAGACTGCATTTGATGATGATGGCAATGGAAATCTGTCCCCTGTACTGGAGGAGGAAGACAAAGGCATTGAAAAGCAAGATGAGGATGATACTGCTTCTTTGGAAGAACCCAAACTTCTTGAGCAAAGCATTGAACCCCTCGCTCCTTTGAGTCGACTGGAGGAATGGGAAGAAGTTGTGCATGTAGTAGGCTGGAATGAAGCTCTGCCTTATGTGGTACAGGTGCTGAAAATTCTCATTGCCCTCCAAATCATGTTTCTAAACCATAGCGACCCACTTTGACTCAAAATCTTTAGGACTTATGGTGTGGTTCAAGCAATCCACAAACTCCTCATTTAGTTCTTCATTTTTAGCAAGGATTGGTCCAATTGTGCCCGAAAACTTGTTCATGATATGCCACCTGCAATTCCTGTGGGCCGTGTTTGGAAAAACAGTGCAAATGGCGGCTCTCATCGCAGTGTCCTGATCGGTGATTATGTTGGGGGTGCCTTTCCGTCCATTGCCTCCAGAAATGTTACAAACAACCATTCATAAGTAGCTGCCTTCTCATTCCTTATAAAGGCACATCCTAGCTGAAAACTGTGGCAGTGTCTGTTGATTCCTATGAATGGTGTACATGGCATCTCATATATGTTGGTCATATAGGTTGCATCAAATGAGACGCAGTCGCTATATGCCTCTTTGTAAGCTTGTCTTGCAGCTGAATCAACTCAAAATAGGTTCTCATCCCTATGGTTGTCATCGAGCTTGATCTTGTAGAAGAAATCATGGTCTTCTTCATTCAAAGCTCTGAAGTAATCCAAAGTTTCCTGTATATCTTTGAATTTTTCCATCTTGTGGATGGTGGAGCGAAACTTCAAAACTTGTTTGCCCTTGTATGGCACCAGCTGTGCAGAGCCATAGAACTCGCTCATCAACTGCATGATTCTACCGGTGCTCAAGTTGCATCCATGTAGCAAAACGATGAAATCCTTTTCCGGCTTCGGTATCCCTCTGTCGGACCTTAGGAACTTCTTGAGCGAGGGCTTCACCACAAGATCGTGGTTGTGCTCGGCCAAAAAATAGATGACTTGCCACCTAGAGCCAATCATTTTGACCACCATCCTCGCCTTGCAGTTTGTATATAGCATTTTCTCCCTCTTCCTTTTCTTACATCCGTCAAGCTTCTTCCTCTTCTCCCCTTGATCATCCTCTTCCTCTTGTGCACTATCCTCCTCTTCGGCTTCATCATTGTTAGAGTAGCAAGTCATAGCATCAATAAGCTGAGCAGCAACTCTCCTTTTCTTGCCAAAGCCTTCCTTATTACACACGAACTGGACCTTCTGCATTTCTCTTGTGATTGCGGACCGACATGGTGTGTTTCTTCTAATCGAGAAGCCAGTTCTCTTTGCATAAGAGCTGTAGTACTCTTTTGCTTTGTCCAAGGATGCAAAAGACAGCTCATTGTGTGGCATTTGAGGAGTAGACCACACCTCTTCCTCCTCTTCGGCTACTTCATTTCTAGCACCATTCAATTCTTTATCAGCAACTATAGAATTAGCAGTAGAACCTTCATTCCTGTCCTCAATCCTTGCCTATTCAAATGATAATCTGATCTTAGAAACGGTAGGAAGAACCTCTCCTAAAACTACAGGAGCCACCTCTACTAAACCAGCATGACCAACTTCAGAAAAACTAGGGAAAATCTGCTGGTTCACATGCTCATCATTAGGCTGAGGAATTGCAGGCACTTGAGTACAGAAGGTAGGGTTGCCGGTCACATAATCCAAACCAAATGCATCCAAGAAATCTTCATCCAAATCTGGTGGTAGCTTGTTAAGATCCATATTTAAGAACCGCATGCAAAACAGTAAGTTACATGAAATTAGGCAACTTAGTCAAACTCATTAGGCAATAATACTGTACAAAATTAGGCAAAAAAAGGCCAGCAACTTATGCAGTTTTGCTCAATACATGCTATCAGTTTTGTTCAGTACATGCTATTCATAGCTGTGGCTATCAGTTTTCCACAGTTATAGTGGGACTGAAGACTGACTAACACTGTACCTAAATGTTACAACCTGTAAAATGGACACATGAGAGTTTGGAAACTTAATACTATCCATGGTACAAAATGCATTTTATTCCATAGTCAGTTTTCAACTTAATGAATCTATTGTTCTTGTGTTCCCCCCTTTTTGTAGAAAGTTGAAATTTAAGGCTTGCTCGTCCTCAACTCAGTTGATTTAAACATTTTTTTCCTTAGTTCTCACTACCATCTATGTGCTTATCATGTACTTCTATTTAATTGCAGGTGTGAGGCCATCAAGCATCAAAATGAACATGTGCAGCGACCATGTGCAGCAGCTGACACAAGAAAGTTTAATGCATAGGAGTAACCATGTGCAACAGCTAACACAAGAAAGTTTAATGCATAGGAGTAACCATGTGCAGCAGCTAACATAAGAAGGTTTAATGCATCAAGATGTACATCTATAGGAGTGGTGCATACATCATATATCCATGTTAACTAGTAAGAACACCATCTAGTAGTAAGATGTGCAGTAAGAACATTAGTCATTTACATGTCCAAGTTAGGATCAGATCTGCTAATGCAGTAGGAACTGCATTACTATTTGTGATGCAAGAGAACTGGATTGCTTATGCAAAAGTAGTGAATTGCTTATCAGTTAGGATCAGATCTGCTTATGCAGTAGGAACAACAGTACTATCTAAGAACTGAATTGCTTCTAGTAACAGATATGGTTGGTTCTATTGTGTAATTCTAGTGTCTGAGAAAAAGCTGATTATCTGCAACTGATAGTATCAAGTTCTTGCATATTTGTACGTACCTGCTGTTTGGATGTATTGGCCTACCTTGTTTGCATGAATCTGTCGGCCGCTCGATGGAGGCAGCGGTGCCCTGGAAGCCTCTATTTTACATGTTGAAAGGGAAAAGCAAAACAAGGCGAGGGGAAGAAGCTTCCAGGCGGGGTGTGGGCCTGGCCTCTAGTGGGCCTTGTCTAGGAAGCGCGCTTGGCGCGCACCCGCCGTAGTGCTTCACACGCGCGTGCACAGCCGCTGCTTCCCCACGACCAGGATAGAAACGAAAAGTATATACTATTGGATTCCTAATATGGAGTGTGTGTGCGGCCTGCTTAATGCATGCACGGCCGTGCATTAATCGTTTCCTTTTAAATTATAAGACGTTTTATTTTTTTCTAGATACATAATCATTGCTATGCACTTATTATGTCACCTATGTCATATGCATATTATGTCGATTAGCTCATTTAATATATAATTTGTAGCATATGCATAGCATGTCGAACTATAAAGACCATATTTTTTATGGATGACTGAATAAAGTGATTCAACTATTAGCTTGATACTTTAGTTCTTCTGCAAGTTATTTTGTGTTATTTGTATGAGCATAGATGACCAAATTATGAATCTATGATGTATTGTGAGCTACTATATATTGTCCAAGTAAACTCTATGTAAGTTAGATTGATATACACTACAAAAAATATCCTTACACATGATAGTTAACTTTGGTCACAGACAAGCGAAAATGCATCACAATTAACTCATAATGGCGATAAAAAAAACGTCATGTATCCTGCGTCATACATTTGTTGGACCAAATTGGATCGTCACAGATTGGTTTTTTTGTTCGTCATGAATTAGTTGTCTGTCTTCTATAACCAACCCATATCCAAGCCCAGATCCAAACCATAGTGACGAAAAAGAACATCACAAATTAGTGCCAAATCATCACAGCATTAACCATACAATCAACGTTAACCATGTCACACATTAAAGCACACTCATGAAACACACATAAATTGGAACAAAGCTCACAATTGACAATATATTGCTCATCATTTTCATTGAAACCATCAACATTTGTACTTGTAAAATATTTCACATGAAATACTAAGGCAATAACCAAGCTACACTCAAGTACCTACAAAACCAAGATGTTGGCTTGTACAACAACAACTCATATGATTTGCTCGCACAACAAAATCTTTCGTGACTAATGAAAATAGCCACCATGAGCACCTTAATCCTCTTGCAGCAATTCACAGATAGCCTCATCAAACATCAACAAAGAATACTTGATCAGTAATAAATCTCAAATGTGCAAAGGTACTATCTTTGAAAAAAGTGCAAGGGTCTTTTGGCCAAGTTAAAACTTCTACATCACAACTATTATTTATTTGAAGATTGTCAACTTAATAGGAAGAAGACAGGAGCATATTGAGAGCCTAGATAGGCCTACACGACATGAGGTAGCACTTAGTCAAATGTTTGCACTAGATCTCTATATTTAAGACTTCTGTAAAATGATTGATGAATGAATGGATCGATGAAGATATTCACCTGAACAATCATTTGGTTTTCTCTGCATGAGGCATCATCTGTAGAGGTAAAGAAAGAAAAAGAAAACACAGTTAGTCTTTGAGGTATAGGACAAACAGAATGCATAAACTTGCATCAGAAAACATAGCTGAACTTAGCAGATCAGTTCGTTAACAAATCAGAAAACATAGCTGAACTAGTTATAAGACAAGTTCTGCAAATCTTCTAATTTAATTTATCATATGCACACCAAAGCTGGAAACATAACCAAAACAATTTGGCTTGACAGTTGCATTTGCACTGCTAGTATAGTAATTTTTTTAACACAACTAGTATAGTAATTTGCACTGCTAGTATAGTAATTTAGAAAAGGGGTACCTCACCGATGGCAGCTGCATAAGTTAAAATAGCTAGTGAAAGTTGCATCACGGTTCCACTAGGCCTGTGTTGACAAGTTCACATTGGCCATACGTGCCTGCAAATGTGAGGAACAGATCCCATGAACACTAGAAACTCTTAAGTACCGAGTTCCTGGAACGACTATAAAAAGGGCGTACCCAATGCAGAGAGCTCCTGCTCTGTGCAGGGTCTGTGGAAGGGTGTCAGTGGCAAACCTTACCCTCGCTTGTACAATGCGAGGAGACCGCGACTAGAACCCGGGACCTTCCGGTCACAGACGGTAAAACTCTACCGCTTACGCCAAGCCCGCCCTTCATCCTGGAACGACTATCTAAAACTAAAGTTTCTATTGCTACTGATTGCAGTTTGCAGTATAAGTGACAAGTTCTAGAATAGAGGTCGTTTGTGCATCTCAAGTTCTCAGAAATCATATTGGTAACCGAGCATATAAAAAATCAAATCGGCTAGCAATCTTCTCTAATCTAGATTGCTGCAAATTAGCACCATACCTTGTTTATTAAAGAGCACACAATATACAATAGGTTAGAGAACTAATGTCAAAATTATGATAATAATATACCTGCAATTTATAAGTTCAGAGCTCACAACTGAGACTGAGATCCTATGTTCATCAAAGAATTTCTCCTAAATTCACATGCACATGATTCAATCTATCATAAACAAATATGTTCTGGACATAAAGGTCTACTGATCTTGTTTAAGGACATGGATCAAAACCTACACTGTTTAGAAGTTGCAGGGGATCAAATTTGGCTAAAAACACTGTAATTTTGGTACCAAATTCAGAGTTGGGTTTAGCTAAAATCTACTGTTGTTTAAGAGACAAAAGCATACCGCAGCAGGCAATAGGAGAGAGGAGCAGCACAACTGCAGAGTGTGGGACGTGGGTGCCTAGGCGGCTGGCTGTGGCCTCCGAGCGCTAGCCAAGGGCGGAGGCCAGAGGGCTGAGGTAGCCAGGCGGGGGCATGACAGCGCGGGGTAGCTGGCCATCGGCGGAGGACCGGGCGACTCGGTGGAGTCACGACCCTGCTCGCTAGGACGGGACGATCGGCTGACCCTGATGGCAGCTACCCCACCGCTCGTAGCTTCAGCACGAAGCTCCGCGCGCTAGATCCACTCCCCCGCGCCGCCCGCAAATCCACGTTGCCGGCATCCCCGCACCGCCCGCAGCCCCACGCCGCTCGCAGCTTCAGCCCCCAGCCCCGCGCTGTAGATCCACGCCACCACAGCCCCACGTCATGCGCACCTGGATGGAGAGAGGTGGATTGGGGAGGGATGGTCGGAGAGGATGGGAGGAAAGGTGGAGAAAGGTTGGAGACTAGGACATGTGTGTTGCTGCATGGAGAATGGGAGAGGATAAGAGGGATGGAGTCACTGGAGGAAAAAAATTGAATCCCATAGGCGCGCACGGACCACGAAAGTTTGCGAAATATTTTCTCTGTCCGCTCAAACACAAAACGTCACATACTAGGGATTTCAAAGCACTATAATTTGTTTAGCAGAGGATAAAACCTGAAACAGATCAGTATTCATTGAAAATAATACTGCATCTCAATGGTTAGTTCCCTACTCTTGAATACAAGGTCTGCAGTTCGACCGTTGGCTGTGGCAATAATTTTTGCACATTTACTTTCAAAAAAAATATTTTTTTTGCACATTTAACCTCATTGACAGGCTGGTACCACCTTCCCCTAGGGTACCGCCTTCCCTGTTTACAAGGGAATATGATCGGTGACGTCCAACGGAATATGATCTGTGACGTCCAATGGTGACGACAACTAAATCAGTCGTCATAGATGTATTAGCTCAGGAATGAACCGTCACAACAATAGAATTCGGCGGACGGCAACTAAATCAGTCGTCATAGATGTATCACCTCAGGAATGAACCGTCACAACAATAGAATTCTATGATGCTTTCTTAGAACATCACCAGTAAACCGTCATGTAAAGCCCTATTTCTTGTAGTGATATTTGCGTGCCGTTTGATTAACTATGAATTTATTATTCATATCGCTTTGATTTTATTATTTTGTCTCTCTTGAATATACATGACGGGT